TATATATATAATATTTATTATCTATTCTATCATCTAATATAATCAAATGAGTAATGTACAATACTTGGTCTGTTTTTTTATAGCTGAACTAAAATACATTCTTTGTACTAAGACTCCTGAATACTGTTACGTGCCACGTCACTCTTGTCGCGACATGTTTGAACAAAGAACATAGTACAGAAAAGGCCATTTTTAACCCACTAACGGAAAAGTGTAAAACATAGTGAATCTTATAGATTTGACCTACTGAACATGATGGTGCTATTAGTTTTCATTGAAAATGTGGGGAACATCGTCATTTTTCGAGTTAAAGTCCTATATTTCACCCTCTCTGTATTACATGATTTTCAATACGAGTGAATTATTTCATGTGAAACTTAGTATGCGAAGATTCCTAATATTGTTAAACGGAAATCTAATAAATAAGATGCATTCAAAATAAAGAATCCAAAATGGCGGATGCCATTTGGCCTTTTTTTTGCTGTCGCCAACTGCTTTCTATAAACCGCTTTCAGCCGGGCCCAGGGACAACGAGCGTGGATGTAGCGGTTTTCTATCCTCTCTTTTTTTGTGTTTTACGTATTTTTTGTTTTTTTTGAGATTTGTATTTTTTTATGTTTTAATATTTTTTCATATGTTATATAATTAGATGCTCATTTTTTTCAACTTCGAACTATTCGAATAGAACGAATATTTGACATGTTCGAATCTTTTGTCCGAGCCCTAGAAAAAATACTAAAACATATAAAAAAATACAAATCACAAAAAAAAACAAAAAATACATAAAACACAAAAAAAGAGGGGACAGAAAACCGCCACGTCCACGCTCGTTGTCCCTGGGTCCGGCTGAGAGCGGTTTATAGAAAGCAGTTGGCGACAGCAAAAAAATGGCCAAATGGCATCCGCCATTTTGGATTCTTTATTTTGAATCCTTTATTTTGAATGCATCTTATTTATTAGATTTCCGTTTAACAATATTAGGAACCTTCGCATACTCAGTTTCACATGAAATAATCCACTCGTATTGAAAATCATGTATTACAGAGAGGGTAAAATATAGGACTTTAACTCGAAAAATGACGATATTCCCCGTATTTTCAATGAAAACTAATAGCACCATCATGTGCAGCAGGTCGAAATCCATAAAATTCACTATATTTTACACTTTTCCGTTAGTGGGCAAAAAACGGCCTTTTCTGTACTACGTTCTTTCTAACATAAAGTTTTTGTTTAGACGATCACGATAAACCTTGTTACGGTTATTTCTTTGCTCATTTTCAGTACCCGCGTTTGTCCCTTTTTTCCTATTTTTGATCTTTTCTGAATATTCTGTCTTACAAATATTTTATGATCAGCAAACGAATTCCTGAGTCATAAAAACTCACGTACCTCAGTTCCTTTCTACTCTTACCACGCATACTTATTGGGTTTTTGAACATATTACCTTATTGGCTAATATTTAACAAAACTCCACCTCTTTCGTTTTGGTGAAGATTCTTCCAACTCAGATTTAGTCCACTCCTATAAGCCGTTCTTGCAGCTTAGTTTTAAGCTTGCCAGTTGTATTATCTCTAAATAAAGCCTGTTCTGAAGACAGAATTCGAACCTTATCATTATATTATACACTACGGCGTATCTCGCACGTAACAGTACTCAGCTAAGAACTCTGCGTTGACGGTGGCGACACAGAATCAGATGGCACGGCGGCCTGGCGAAACCAGTAGCCACACACACAAGAACGAGCCCATGTACACGCCGAGGGACACCATTTTTACCGGTGTATGTATATATGCTCTCGGTGTGCCGAAGGCGAGCACATGTACAGGGTGTTACAGATACATACTAGGCAGTACGACGGATTGCGCGGCAAACTTTGCCGCGCAACCCGTCGTACTGCCTAGTATGTATCTGTAACACCCTGTACATGGGCTCGTGCTTGTGTGTGTGTTACAGCGACTCGTCACGATAAATGTTTGAACTTATAGGCGTGGAAAAGTGACGTTTTGACGACGAAATTTGTGCTGCATGCCATTTCGTTATTATTTGCTTAATTGTGGAAATGTGACTTGTCTCATATTTATGAAAGTCCTAAAAATGAGTGGAAACTAGTTATCTTGGAATTTTACATGTAAAAACGATATATTCCACTCATTTTAACAGCTGTCAAACCGTGTGTTTTTGCCCAAATATAGCTCATTTTACGTGCCTTTCACAACCATTTATTGACTATCAAGAGAGGAAAGAACAGTTTTCGCCCATTTTTACAAGCGTTTTAAAGCGATCTCGTCATTTAGATTTATCTAAATTGTCTTTATTTACAAATGGCATGCAGCATAAATTAACATGTCATTTCTCACTTATGATGTCACGATTTCAACATGGCCGCGGTAATTACTCAAAAGCCTTAAAGTGAAGTAAATATGTTTGAAATTTTATGAAAGCGAGAAAGCAGGCTTTAGCATAGTCCTGTACAGAAATAAAAAACAAATCTATTATTAATACTTTGAGGCTTCCATGAATATTTTCTTCAAAGAAACTATCAAAGAATAGTGAGACTAGAACACTATAATATAGATATTCGCATCCATCATTTTTAGTCCTTTCCCCACTCTTTGTTCTCTCTTCAACTTTTTCTTTTCTCTCTTCAATCTTCTTAGTTTAACGGCAGAGTGGAGAGAAAGTAAGGGATTGAGGAAAGCAGCAAGAGTGAGAAAAGGACTAAAAATGGCGGATACGAATACTCATATTATAGTGCCTTAGGGAGACTAAGAATGGAAGGCTAAGGACCCCGTTATTTTGTACCATCTAACATTTCTTTTGTTAACTATTTGATCGGCTATGTTAGAATATATCAAATAGAATATGGGTCTCTTTCATCAACCTCGGTTAAGTTAAGTAATAATGATAAAGTCATTTATTACTATGCATTTGCCAAAAGATTCGTCCTATAAATCTTATGTATGTATCACTTTCTTATACGCGTGTGTGTGTGTGCGCGCGTGTTTAGTTATGTTAGATTGGGTACGTGTAGCTTGTGTCCTCAGACATTTCGTTTGTTAACTACAGTCAAAAATCAGGGTCTTTTATGAATGGATTATAAATAAGCCCTCCATTCTTGGTCTCACTATTCTTTGGAAACTACTAGGTTTGCAGTTATCTCCATGTCTTGATACATCATTAATTACCAACATTTTATGAACATTGCAATTTACTTCACCAGGTAATTACAGGTGGAAAACAATCTGATGCTATAAGTATTAAGTAAATATTTATATTATTCATGTGTTTTTATTCTTGTTGTACTTAAAGTAGCACATTTCACCCTGATGAATTAAACTGCAATGTTTATAAAACAATGTACGAAGATAACAGAGATAATTCAGAAAACTTCCGTAGAGCTAATTTGAAAGCTAGTACTAATAACTTTTGTTTCTAATTTTTTCAATAGTTTATGTTTTAATTTCACCTGTGCGTGTGGCTCATGGCACAGGTGATCTGCACTTCTTGATAATTCTGGTACCATGCTAGTGAAGCTAATATCCGACAACATTACTCTTCTAGCTTCTCGGGTTTTGTCCGACAATCTCAGTCGGCTAGGCACTCCCGTTGGTAGCGCAAACTTGCTCGGTAATGTCGTAAAAGTATGTGCGACTTTGTGCGCGAGATAGCTTTCAGATCGCCATTGTGCCGGAAGCGCAGAGATGTCCGTTTGGGCACCAGATTCTCTTCGGGCACCACTACTACGATCCATCACCGGCCGCAATGGGACAGAACTCTTTCTCCGACTATTAGCCAGAGCTTCCCGATGAATGATAGGTCTGGGAGAATAACAATAATATAATAATACATTTAGTAATAAAATTATATAACACAATAAAAACAATAAAAGGTATCTATAAAATTAGAAATTGATAAAGATAAGTAATAATTTAATCAATTGATTGCTCGATTTTAAGCTGAAAAATATAATCAATGTGAGAGAGAATTACGTGAATATTGTAAATGCAGTTTATGAACCTCTAAGACATGAGATTTGTTAAAAAATAGTTTCCTGAAGAAAATTATCTGAATTATTGTAAACCTGTAAGCCGTCGGTGGTGCAGCCAGAGTATTTCTTCTCGTGACATGTCGCAAGGATGATCCTGCTGTACTTTCAGCATCTTCCAATATACCACACTTACTGATGTCAGTCTCCACTAGAACAGAGCATTGCGACCACATCTTGTTGAGTCTGGTACTGGAGCTCTCGTCGAACCTGTCAACACTCTCCTCGCGATCAATGCTAGAACTCTGCGACGAGATAGCTTCCTCGACAGAACTGGTTTTCTCTCCATTACAAACTAATGACTCATCATCTGCCGGTTTTACATATTTAAGTAAAATAGGCTGGCCACCACCGCCATGTTGCCATGTTTCCGTCTCGGTGATAGAAACCAGATCCTCCTGCAGACCGAGATCGCGACATATCTCATCTGTCGTGAATATTAGCTCGATGTCATCCAATTCTTCAGACTCGTTCTCCGAGTGTTCGTTTGGTCTCGGCGAATCACCTGAATGATCTTGTCGAGGTATCTGAGGTTGATCTACGTGATCACTGAATACAGAATTATCACCATCAGAGATAGATTTCAAACTCAAGTCTTCAGGATCCTTCCCAGGAATATCTAAATGACCCATATTAGCTGCATCACCTAAAATAACGAAAAGAACACATGTCTAAAAATTAAAGAAAATACTGTCTTTAAAAAAAAATCTACATTTTTACAAATTTTTTAATATCTAATTTTTAAAAAAGTTTTTTAGTGACGTATTGTTATATCATTATTGTTATTATCGCAAATGGAAAAATGTTTTCTTTATTACATTATATTTATATATTATTACGTCTGCCGTCAATACAAACGGAATTCTTCTTTTTTTTATACCTCTTTCATCCCGTGCTATTTATTTTTATTAATTAGCTTCTCATTGTTCATAAAAATATTTTAGTTAAACATTTTGCGTGAATATTCCAACCGAAAACTTATTCGAGTAGTAGTATTGTTCTCTATCACGCCGGTATGACATGACACGTGCGCTAGCGCGAGCCAATCAAAATATTAGCGAGGCGCGTGTCGATGCCTAACCCAGTGAGAAATAGTACATCAAATTGACGTTGAATCGATGTCGATTTGATCAAACTTCATCGAACGGATTATTGAACATCGAAATCTTAAATATTTTGAGATGATTTCAATGTCGTGATAACTGTGCAAACGGTATTTGTTGATGCCAGTAGCAATACAATTATAATCTTTCTTTCAAGATTTTCAACGTTTTTCTCATGTTTTTGTTCAATATCGATTCGATATCGATTCGATACGTTATATATAATTTGCCAAAGACATAGAGAATGGACTGCGCGATCCAATGTGTCAAAATGATCGATAAGGATGAGAGAGAGGGACCGTGGGAGACGGCCAATCTCCCTCTCGTTCTCTCTCCCATTACACCATTGAATGGAAAATCATTAGTTTATTATGTATTATGTGCTCCAAAATTTAAAAACATGATCCTATTTGCATGGTATGTGTCAAAGTTGGCAAATAAACGCGAATTTTTTTATGTTAATCAATTATGTTTCCCTGCAAATCTACATAACTTGAAATGTAATTTGTGTAAAACGAATTATTGTTTTATTAAATGTTCGTGGTGTGCGGCTCACTTATGTTTCCAATGCTTTTACATTAATTTTCACCCACAACATTGTACGGCAATGTCCGAATTTTATAATAATAATAATAATGAGTAAAAAATAAATATAAAACGAAATATTATTTTATAAAATGTTTGTGATGTACGACTCATTTGTGTTTCCAATGTTTTAATATATATTTTAATTTACAATATCGTACGGCAATGTTCGAATTTTATAAATAAATGTAAATAAATATATAAAATAACGTTTTTCGATTAAATAAAAAAAAATTGTATACTGCGTGGTCTCGAACTCTCTTCGTCAGATGTAAAAGTAGTACGCGCGCCTCAGGCCTCTCATCCACCGCGCTTCTTGCTTTATCTCTACTTATTCACAGTACTTACCGCGCAGTAGGCCCATTACTCAACTTCACATGCAAATTTCTCTTAAACGAGGGCCCATGCACCTAAACCCTTTTACACTTTTTACACTCTCGAACTCGCCTTTCGAATGGTATAAGTTACATTCCAATTCGTATTTCGCAATTCGTGCCATCTCCTTGTTAGATACGGATCACGCAGTCCATTCTCTATGTCTTTGTAATTTGCTAATAATGCTGACATAATTTCTTACATTGCCGGTAGTATCGGCGTGTACCTTGAGAGATCGCTCGGCCGAGAGCGCGACGTGCTTCAGTCCGAGCAGTGCATCGAAATATTCGAAATGTTGAATGCTGCCCAGAAGGCAGTAGTGATTAGTAAGCATAGTGGGTAATTACGCCATTTTTATTGCAAACGTATAATAATATTGCATCTTATTAGAATTTGTGTACGTACATACAATTGAGGTAAGTAGCTAGCCTTTCACCATGATAAAAAAGCTGTGCAGCGGCGTTATAATGGGTGCTTTCCATTTGATGACACAAGTCGACACAAATGTCGTTCTATCTTTGTCACTCTCTGAATGTCAACAAGGATAGAACGACGCTTGTGTCGACTTATTGCATCATGAAATGGAAAGTACTCATCGTTAACTAGCGACAGCCAATGAGTGCCGCGCTAAAAGACTATATTTTATATTATTCCATGTTCAACATGCATCGTTGAACATGGAATAATATAAAATATAAAGCCTTTTTGAATTTTAATATATAAAACTAAGCATCGTCGTATTACCCCGCCATCACAGTGTGCTTTTCAACAAGCGACACAGTGCGACACAGTAATTATGTCATCTTTGTTTAACATTGGCAAACAACAAGGATATAATGATTCATTGTTCACACCGTGTCATTTGTGTCGCTTGTTGGAAGGCACACACAGTTACCCCGATTGACCCTATATGTTACCAATGATTATTGCTAAAAAAAAAAATAGTTAACTAACATCATGTCTTTTATTTTTTAATTAGATCGAGTTAATTGTAAATAAGGCGTTATTGCCCATCTACTTGTGGATCAGTTTCAACTTGTATACACATTATCCACTTGTATACACATTATTCGCTTGTATCCCAACAATTTGCATATTTTGAATCAGAGTGAATACACAATGTCAGAGGACGATAGGCCTGTAAGTATCTTTTTCAAAATTATATTCATTATCATGATGTAATTAGAGTGATTTTACGTTTTACCTAATAGCTATTCTACAATGAGTACTTAGTCGTAATCTCACAGTCGGTTTGGTAAAATAACTGATTATTAAACTACTGACTTATTTTGTTACGTCCAAGCTTCGATAATGTGGAAGAAAAGGTTTAAAGAAAGAAAAGGATAAGAAAGGAGAAGGATGGAAGGACGTTAGAACAGACGCTATGTTTCGCAGGCATCCGCAGGAAAGGGATGGAGCGAGTTGAACGCACCTTTTATTGCTCTGGAATATGAGTCAACGTCCTGAAGGGACGATATGACGCCTGATTCCGATGAGCAGTGCGATCGTCGGTCCGACTTTAGAGTCAAAGAAATGAATCTTCATAACTCGGGAATGGACCAGCTGCGATCCTTGGGAAACAGCGAGAGTACGAGGTCTTTTAAATTTAAAAATCAACTGAAGGAAATCATTTTAAATAGAATTTCATTTTATTACTAAAGTAAATTACAAAAAAAATGTGATAATTATCGAGTTTATATAAACTTCATAATTAAATTAAAGTTAAACATAATCATAAATTTTATAAGTAAATCAAAGTACACAGAATTATTGAGTTTGCATAAATCTTATAATTAAATTAAAATATAATTGTTGAGTTTACATATATTTTGTAATTAAATTAAAGTTAAAGATAATCATTAGGTTTACATATATCGAAGAGGAAAAAAAAACTTGACGATTTGACATGATTAGTGGTAGATCGATACGATTATTGGTTAATTTATGCTGCTATCGAGTTTGATAGTGTGTCTAAGTGTATTATGTGTGTGGTGTTTAGGACTGTAATATTCATCTTATCTCTCTAATTACGGGGTGATCCCGATTGATCACGGCTCGATTGGACACCACCAATCACAGCGACCGATGCTT